AGCCGCCATCGCCCCAGCCGCCGTCACCATTGACGCTGTCACCCTTGACGCCATCGCCCCAGCCGCCGTCACCCCAGCCGCCGTCACTATTGACGCTGTCGCCCCAGCCGCCGCCTTCCCAGCCGCCGTCTTCCCAGCCACCGTCTTCCCAGCCACCGTCTTCCCAGCCACCGTCTTCCCAGCTGCCGTCTTCCCAGCCGCCTCGGCTGCCGCCGTCGCCCCAGCCGCCGTTGCAGCCGCGCACTATCACCTCGATCAACGTGACGGAAATGTGGGGCCAGGGCAGCATCGTGAGCCCTTCGAAACGCACAGACGACGGCGATCTGGAGCCCGGCACTGTGGTCTGGTCCGACGATCCTATCTTCAGGACGTACCGCAAGCCGCGCAGCGCACTCAACCTGGTGTTTGCTAGTAAGCACATGACGTGTGCGGTGATGCGCGGCGTGTGTGCGCCCTGTCCGCGCGCCTGGGAGGCAACGAAGACCTTCCGTACAGTGCCAATTTACTTCCGGCAGCCGGTCCAAATTGACACGATTAAGATTCTTCAGCTCCAGAACCCTGGCGTCGTTTCTGTGGAGCTCCTTCCCTGGCCCGCAACCGCCATTCCCGAGCTGCCGAGCTTGCAATCCCGGAACGGCACGTTGGGTGCGCCCGTATGGAAGGTGGAGGAGGATTCGTCAGAGTGCGGAATGGATTTGGTAATTCAGGTATCTCCGGAGGTTTCGGGAATGAATATTGCGGTGCCGCCGCGCGGGAGCCAAGAAAGCTTGCCGCCGCGGTTCCGAAGCTCTGCTGCGGGCGGCTTGTTGATTACAGTGAAGGAGCAACGACGAACGGAAAGGCCTACGGTGATTGAGTCGGTGCGCGTCAGCGGGCGGATCTTGTATCCCCGTGGGGACATTTCACAGTATTATTAGGGGCCGCGAATATGAGCAGCTCGAGTGCCGCGCCTTAGAAGGAAAACGGCTTGGGGGCTGCGCTTTACCAGGATTCCTTGTTTAAGTGTTGTTAGGGTGGCTTGGTTGAGTTTATTTGGGGATGCTTTGGTTTTGGTTTCTGTGTTTTTGTGAATTGGTTGTTGCGCGCGGAGCTTTTCCTACGCGAATGTGGACGTGGACGTTGGCATTTCGACGAGTTTATAAATACGTTGCAAATATTTAAAATTGGCTGACGGATGCATTTAATAGTGCGTTGGCAGCAAGGCGCAGGTTGGAGGGTGACGCTGCTGCGGCGGAAGGCTGCCGCATGGTGGAAACGCTGTGGCGAAACGTTTCATGTCGTTAGGGCCCTGGTGTACTTGCTGCGGGTTGTGATTTATTCTTGGTGTTTGGCACGCTTAATCTATTGAAATCATAGGCTATGGCGTTTTTGGAACTCTAGGGCCTTTTTAGTTCGATTAGAACATCTTGCGACAAGATGCAATTATGCAAAAGGTTAGAACTTAGCTTGGATTAGAAATAGTAATCCAGTGTGATACAGCCGCATTTTAATGCCTATTCGTGCTGTACGTGTGCGGGCATGATGATTACTATTATTTGAGCCAAATATTTAGATCACCATCATCAAGAGATCAGACCTGTACATGGGCCGTAGAAATCTACCAGTTTAGCCCGGCGGAGCTCATAAATGTCATGTGATAGATTGCACTCCTGCTGTTCATTTACATTTTTAGTGCTTGCCTAGTTCTCTGAGGTTGCACTGCGCTTGCCTAGTTCTCTGTCTAATTCTCTGTTTGCAATGTTGCGTGCGTGTTCTTTTTCTTTTTAGACTGAGTCGCGGCCCCGTCCCGCAGTTCCTGGGGCCAATAATTGTCTGTGACATGCCGCGAAAATTTCGATGTCACCGTACATAATGACTGACCTATCTCGGACACGAACCCGCCAACCGCCGCCCCGTTGCCTCCAATTGGAGGGGGGCTCAAACCCAACTGCTGTAACGAACGATCGATATGAAAACGTGTCTAATCCAATTGGGTTGCATGGGTCATGGGATGACAACTTGTTAGCGGCTGGTGTCCGGGTTCGCGGGTCAAGTGCTACGATACCACGATACCATGAGGAATTCGGGACTTAAATAAGCGGGGTCTTCTTAAGTTTTTTTCCTGGGGTGTATTACTATCTTCAGGCCTCAGGCACAGCAGCGCGTGCCGCCAAAGCGCATTCTTCTGGACACGCTCATCCCATCCCAACGATGGGGTACCACTATCTGATGACGGGGTCGACATCCCCGATATTACATATGCAGCAGCGGCAGTAACAACAACCGTCCCGTCCACAACCCCCGGAGGGGAGCGGTGCTCGTAAGGGACCCTTCAAGGAGCGAACGGCCGGCAGCACGCAAACAGCAGCAGCAGACTGCAGCAGCGCACGCCTACAGGCCCACCTGAAACCTGAGTGTAGCGGAAGCGCGGGTACAGGATCGGCTTCCAGAGCTGTGTCCGCAAGGCCTAACAGTTACTGGCCAGGGAGTGAGTGTTCGTCCCCAACAGCATCATCCATGCGGCCAAAAGCATAGGCAGTACTTTGCACTCCAGCTGGAGTACTTTGCACTCCAGCTGTTCTTAGCTTTGTAAGCTATAAGCGTATTTTGCAATATTTTATATGTTAAATCGTATGCTTTTTATGTCTTCGGGAGGCCTCGTTGTAAAGAAGCGCTTTGCTTCCCATGCATATCAGGCATGCGGAAAGCCTGTTGTATGTTGGCTTTCAAATTTTTAGGTGATTCGTATAGGTTTTTCGGAACTTTTGCACCTAGTGCTTCGTCTTTGCTACTTGGAACCGCTTGCCGTCCTTTCGTACGAAGAGACTTAATCCGAGAGGATACACTTCGGCACCTCTAAGGTGAGGTGCTGAAGTAGTTCTTTATAGGTTAGGAGGAGTGTTTATAATCAAATAGCAATTTTCCGGAACTTCATATCTAGTTCGTATCCATTTGTGTAACGCAATACATATGGCACATGAAGTGGGATTTAAAGACACATAAGGTAGAGATGAAGTATGCTGCTGGTGGGTCGTATGAAGAGTATATTAATGGCCATGTGAAGAGCGTACGAAGTAGGGTCATCACGAACGTTCACGTTCAAGCGAAAAACAATGAGTAAACAATAATACATGAACAGTAATATATGTTGATTATAAACAGATAAAATATAGGTCATCATAAGATTGCTAAGTCCAGTCCGAGGCCTGTCTCGAGGCCCATGCCAGCCGGCAATGCCTCACTCCCTGCCTCACTCACAGTGACGCAAGCGCGTATCTGGTCAACGCATCCATCCCCGAAAAGGACGGCACATGAAATCGGATTTGGGGCCGATTGCATGGCGGGATGCCCCCATCCTGAATATGTGGCTTTCGTATGCTAAATTTCCGCCGTACGTGTGCTCACTCAATACGGCCTCCACGGCCTCGCCCCCGCCCGCATCGTTCAGGCGTTGAGGAAGCTTTAACCTTAGTTGTCACCGTCTCCTTTAATGGTGAAAGCGGCAGGCTGGAACGGTTCGTTTCAACATTTTTGCTACGGCCTTGTGCTTCCTTGCTTGTGGGCGGGCTGTTCCACTTCTGGTCGTGCGTGGAAAGACAAGGCACACCGTGATTGGATGAGGAACAATAACCACGATGATGTTTTATGGTATGAAGTTAGGTGGAATGCAATTTAAAATCGTCCATCGACGAATGGACGATTTGTAACTCCGTAGCCATTTCTGTATAGAGATTAGATTCATGGCTTGATTCATATTGTAATTATGTACAAGTTGTAAACTAACTCCTTTCGCGGCATATTTGTTCCTACGCTATGCATTTTAGCGTGTGTTGGACATTAATTGCGCCGACGTGCGTCCCATACGGCACCGTCTTATCTACCGCAGCTGTCGAACTGGGCTTGCCTGGTGCGAACGATAAACCAAGATGGTTTTAATAAAGTTGAGCTGCTGTGCATTAGCACGGATTAGAAAGCCCTAATCAATCACCTCGAGACCAAGAACATGAGTTCTCCTTCCCAAAAATTCATATTATGTAACTATGCATCATTATTCTAGTGTCTCTTATTATTCGGAAACATAATCGTTTTATCATCACCTGCGTTTCCCTTTCTTGCGTTCTACATGCATGGCGGTGGCGGGCGACAGCAGTACTAATAAAGTGCTGCAGACGGTGCGTCGAACATCCCTGCAGCTTCGGTGCGAGGTTAACGGTTCTACGTTTTGCTACGCGAATGCATTTTTATTAACGCCTTGGAAATACCAACATCACTCAAATCGCTTCGTCCTTGTAATTAGTCAGCATACAACATGGGCCTTATTACGCCCTTTGGAGTTCCGTACGCCCAAAGACATCTACCAACTGGCGGGCTCCTTGTACGTCATCGCTGCTGCTCCTATATATAGGAGGAGGCATGATAGACGAGTAGATAATGCAGGCAGCATAGTTATTAGGTACTGCACCACAGACGGAACTCTTCGAGCGCGTGCATCTGTTGTTACGAGACATACGGAAGAATAGTGACAACCGGGGACGGAGGTGCCTTTCCTTCTATCGGCACTAAATCACATCACCTCACCACCGTCGTATCCATAACAAACATTAATTAATATCTGAAATAGCGACGATGCAACGATCTCGAGTGACGGCGTACCTCATTCCGGGTCTAGTGTTGGCGCTCATTGCACAGTTCGGTGAAGTGAGGTCGAGTCACTTCCGTGCCGGCATCATCGAGTACCGCGTCAGCCAAACGAACCCCAATACTTTGGATCTCGTCGTGACGACATGTTGGAGGTACGCGTGCTGGACTTTACTGAACAGAAGGGTGATGCGGTTACTAGCAAGGCACAGCTGATTCATGATGAGTGCGTTGAAAATTGGAATGGTCTACAGGCCGTGCTAAGGTATAATAGATAGGCCTGAAAATAGGTGGTCTAAGGGGGTGTTTCCACTTAGGATTGACATCGCGGATTCGCACCAATCCGCCGCTAATCCACGAGGAATAAACATTCCTTTCATAGGTCTAGATTAAGGAACGGAATGATGTACACCAATTGCCATTTCCGTGCATAAAATGCGAAAGCGAGTATTGCTGGACATTTAAAGACTATCGAAGGCCTTGCCGCACCTTCGAACAACACCCTCAGTGTGGTCCGTAATGCCGAACAAGAAGCGCAAAGCTTCCACAAAACTAGGAACACCTAGAGCCTTTATAAAAGATAACCTTCCAAGCTATCAATAAGGTTTTTTATGAAGCGTTGTTGAACATGTTAATCCGAGGTTTGTCATTGATATTTGGTGGCCACCAAGTAGCAAATTTTTCCCACCAAGTTCGAGCTTTTAGGAAAAGAAGGATGTGTTCATTTTAGAGCATATTAATCTATACTTTTCTCGCGAAACGCACGAATATGGGCGTAGAACTCTTAATCCTTAAACTCCACCAACCTTAATCCGCCTAATCCGTCCTAATCCGCGAGATGTTTCCATACGCAACGGATGAAGCCTTAATCCGTGACATTAATTCCAAGTGAAATCACGCCCTAAAGACACTCCTCAATTTTACAGACGCGAAAGTAGGATGTCAGCTTCCTTAAAGTGCGAAAAAGGGCGGGGCCCCTCGCTGCTGTACGTCTGTATAGGATGATGATTTGCTAGGCGGTAATTTCCGTTGGCCTCCAATCCCTCCTAGCCTTTGCGCTTAGATTGAGGAGGACGGGTGTCTGAGTAAGCGGGAGGGGAGGTGGAACGTCGAAGGGCGAGTGTTGAAGCGCCACCCCAGTCGCCCGATAGCACACGTTTCGCGATACAAATAAGATGAGCTGGAAATGAATTACTGGGCGCAATAGGCGGCCGTGCTGTTGACCACGTCGTCCTAAAACCGCCATAGAGAGAAGGCGTTTATGTGTATATGTGCAATGATACTAAAGTACATGACCAGGGCCTCATTTAGCCGTAAGTTTGGTTTGATTATAACGGCCGGACTGCGGACCCAGGCGAGGAATGGCGGAGGACGAAGCCCACCGCGCTCGTGTCGACGGTCAAATTCTGTCGGCTTTTTATTTTGTGCTCTTCCTGAATGGCACTGTGCAATAATGTGCGCTTAATAGATGCTGAAATTTGCTTGGTTGCAGGTACGATGCTCCCGACAATCTTAATGTAATTCTGGATGGCGGCGGCACCCTCTTTTCCACGAGTACTGCTGATGTCGTTGGAGATGGCTACGACGCTATGGGTAATCGCTATATAGTTCTAAGGTTCGTGGCATATTTAGCATCCTCGTACATGAATTGCTCCTACATCTTTTTCGAGACCTACTGTACATATTTGTACCTCATGCATGTGTGTAAATCAAACGTGCCTGCACTGCAGCTGCGGCTCATTAAAGCAACAGCACCACTACCAGTATCGCAACAGCCATGCGTCCAGCAGGGCCTCTACATATTGCGTGCAATCGTACATGCATGTGGCTGGGAGGCCCCCTGTTATGCACAGTTTTGTATTGGTAGTAGTTTCATACACTACTTTATCCATACAGCCCAGCCCGTATATGCCCGTATAGCCAGCTGGGCAGCCTGGGCATGGTGAGAAAGATGGGTGAATGTGGATGGCCGAACGGACATAATCTGTAGCAGTACATACAGTGCGGTGTGAAACAGCTGCAATGCAGCATCCCTCACGTACATGCTCTGCTGCCGGTTTCTGCAGGACTTACGGCTCAGCTCCAGTTCCCGCAGCCGCTGGAGAGATTTACGCTACCAGCTGTTGCCGCATCGGTGGCCTTGTTGGCGGAGTATATGATTACGCGTTGGGTGACTTTCGCTTTGCCGTGAACTATGTCCCCGGCGTGAGTTCGTCAATCGTCATCCAAGCGCCGGCCGTCATGCTCATTGACAAAGCAACGAGCTCAGGGGTAAGGACGACAGCAAGGGTCCACAATGCCTTTTGCTTCATGTCTGCTTATAGCCTTAATTGGTTTCCTTGGTTATACAAGGTGAAATTATAATCTGTGGTGAAGTGTCAATCGGCTCTATCAGAAATAGTGTGTGTATGGGAAGCAAGTAGATACCAAACAAAGAGCAAGCGGATTTGGAAGATGCAAGACATAGGACTGAAGGAGTGCACTGATGAAGGTGTCGCACGTACATGCGCACCTGCCCTGCCTCCATTTGTATGCTTCACTGACAGGGCTACAACTACACCTTCGTTCCGGCCATCAGTTCCCACGGGGCGTCCATCACCTGCTCCATCAACACGAACCTCGCCGATACAGCTCCTGTGAGTTGTCGCACAGCTCCTGTTGTGTATCACCCGCCGTACTGTCGCCATCGAGCCGTACATACGTGTTCGTTAGCCAGCTGCAGCAGCCTGCGTCGGTAAAACTTGTTGTTGTTGTTGTTGTTGTTACATGGTCGTGGGTGCGTTCCCCGTACCTGCAAACCACCCTAGTACGAGCCGAGGGCTCAAGGGCTGCCAAATCGCCTATAAGCACCATCCTACCTCGCACTTCCAACGAAACAAGTAATGAAGTATACTAACGACCAAAGGGAACGATAGAGTTGCGGTGAGACCATATACGTTCCAGCATTCTTGCCAGGCGTCCAGGTTCCCACTTCATAGCGTCCTTCATATGTTCGAAGCGTGGAAAGCCCATATCAGATCTGATTTCGTCGTACACCGGACAGTCCAGCAAAATGTGTTTCTCATCCTCGATGTGGCTATCAGTGCCGCAGCAGGGGCATACTCGCTCCTCCCTAGGTATATAACGCCGTCCCTTACGCGCTCTGTTAGCCGCCAGTGCCCAACAGCAAAGCCTAAACTGCATAAGCTTGCAATTCGCCGAACGTGGGATAAACATTGTGATGTGCGGGAGCACCTCCTTCCTGCCCGCTTGCTCGGCCGCCAGCCCCATCCAATGCTTAAAACTTGTGTCGTCTATAGCTATAGATAGGGTCATCGTATGATAGATAGGACCAGGAAATGGATCGTCTATCAATGCATTATATAGAATGGTCTATAAACCATCCCGAAAGTAGATGGTCTGCAGACGACCAACAACTTTACAGACGTGCTCCGTGCTGTGGATTGTTGTACTACCTAAGTGCACGCCTGCCAGATATGTGATACTGCACATACCAAATCCTAGCAACGGCGATCATCACTTTGGTAAGACAAAAGGGTGTTTGTCTTTCCCAGCAGACAGAGAGAGGGGACATCGTTTTTATCTAGCTTACCTAAACCATTCCTAATAACGCCTTTGCCCGAGCTTGTCTCACAAGATTCCCTAAATTTATTGTATTTCCTTTGTTGCGCTGCTGCCATTGCAATCTCACACAATATGTACGCCTTGACGCGCGTGTGCAGGGGGAGCTATCTGTTTCGACAGTATCAGGGGGATGCAGGTGCGCAGGTGGGGGTGCTCATATGTCAAATGAAAAATCGGTTAGAGTTATTTTATTGTAAAGGCATGCTTTACATAAGTGGGAGATCAATGACGATGACCTTCGTCCGGCTGATCTACGAAGCAAGGAACTTTGCTACGGTCTTGCAATACTCTACACGGACTACCACATGTAGTCCTGGACGCACACCTGGTGCTTGTATGAGTGGACGACCACGCACCTGCCGTGCCTGCTGCTTGCAGCTGCTGGATACCTACCTACCATGTTGTATGTAATCGTTACAGCAAGCTACTGCGTCGTGTGTGTACCTGTTGGGATAAGGTGCCTAGTACCTAGTACCGGTACTAAAAAGGAGTGATTTTTTTCGTTTAGGACGGGTCTCAATTTATTCCAACCTGAGTAACAAAGTGGCTAGGGCTGTCGTAATTTATTCCTTTATTGTGAGGCGCTGGGGGCGCTGGTCCGGCCCCCCTCCGGCCCCCCCCTAAGTTACAGCTCCCCACAAAACCCTAAACCGACATTCACCGTCGATCTGGCCCTTGCGGACACGCTGTGTCTGAGCCCGCTTGGCATGGCGAGCGCTCGGGTTGGGCGCCTGGAATGAATGGCCGGCATCACCGCATTCACTGTTGTTGTTGTCGAGATGATTGGGCGATAACTTGTGCTTATGAAGGGCAGGGGGAATGGCGCCCGTGTCATCGGTCGCCGCTGGCAGCAACAACATTGCCGATGCGTTACCAACAACAGCACCGCCATCCCGAACGCCCTTACCAGGCAAAATTCCAGGCTTATCTTGCTGTTTTGGTGTCTGTTCGACGTTTGAGTCATTGACTTGTGCGTGTTTGGCTATGTGAGGGCCGGTCACAAATGCTGCTATGCCGCGTTGACTCACGGGCGTGACCTTCTTACGGCCGTCCATGGCCCCTCAAATATATTCTATGATTTCAAATACTAAGTTATGCACACTACGGAGCAATCTTGCAGCAATGGACGTTTTTGGCTGGAGGAATGACAATGTACGGGTCGGCCTCAATTTATTCCTTTTTCCCAAAGGCCAAAATGTCGATTTATTCCTTTTCGGGATTATATTACTTAAGAAAAATACGCTGTTGATAGGTAGCAAGTCAGGTAGCTAATTGGGCGGCCAGCCACTCGCTCGCATTACTGCTTGCTTGCATCTATCGCTTCCCAAAACTCGAATCCAATTCATGTACTACCCTTTCATCTTAAGCACATAACACTTACCTGCACCGTTACCCTTTCTATGAACTGATACCTACTTCTTCGTCACATCGGCGTTGGTGATGTTTGCATGCTCTATTTACGGTGGACACGGCAGTCTTGGATGGCGCAACTTTGACTACAATTATGGCGACATGACTGCTATTGGACTTCGGATAACTGAGTCGTCCACGGGACACTACAGTGACGTCACCTTCCTTCTGGTGCGTTGTGTACGCACATCTGTGTACATGTGTGTGTAGCTCCGTATGTGCACGTGCGTCTGTATGTATGTGCTCCTGGTTTGTCTGTGCATGTGCTAGCGCTATCCCGGCGGTGTAGTAACAAGCCGGGGAAAAAAGCCTGTCTAGATGCTGGGAACGCGCTCTAGCGCGTGTATGTTCTGATGGTGTATGACATACTGTACGACAGCTACGACACTGCCCCGTCTGGGGCTTCATGCTCGTGTCTTGCTTTTTGCACTCACCAGGGTGGCGTATATGCGGCCCACTACCGCTATGGAGTCGTGATCTGATATGAAGATCGTACCGTCACGGATATCGCAACGGAAAGCGATCCGTACAGTTAGCGATTGCAGCTCATAGTTTCTATGCTGCGATTAAGCTTTTAATAGATTAATATAATATATTCGAAAGTAAGTGTAGCTTACTACACCATGCATCATATCAGTAGAACATTAGCACGGCAACGAGTTAAGCTAGCCCTGCCTTACTATTTCCACTCCTTCCTGCCTGTACTCATGAGATTATCACATGCCGCTTGCGTATGTGCAGATGGCGGCGGACTTGAGCAACCAGCCTGTGCTCTCCGCAATCAATGCTTCGACTGGTCAGGTGCTGCCGCAATACGGCGGAAACCTCGTCATCTTCGTGGGGGTACCTGTCACGGTGCGTTGCATGCATGTATATTTAGACATGTTGCCCGTTTGAATATATATGTATGTGTCCTGCGTTTGCTGTTGTTGTTGTTGTTGTTGTTGTTGTTACATGGTCGTGGGTGCGTTCCCCGTACCTGCAAACCACCCTAGTACGAGCCGAGGGCTCAAGGGCTGCCAAATCGCCTATAAGCACCATCCTACCTCGCACTTCCAACGAAACAAGTAATGAAGTATACTAACGACCAAAGGGAACGATAGAGTTGCGGTGAGACCATATACGTTCCAGCATTCTTGCCAGGCGTTCAGGTTCCCACTTCATAGCGTCCTTCATATGTTCGAAGCGTGGAAAGCCCATATCAGATCTGATTCCGTCGTAAACCGGACAGTCCAGCAAAATGTGTTTCTCATCCTCGATGTGGCTATCAGTGCCGCAGCAGGGGCATACTCGCTCCTCCCTAGGTATATAACGCCGTCCCTTACGCGCTCTGTTAGCCGCCAGTGCCCAACAGCAAAGCCTAAACTGCATAAGCTTGCAATTCGCCGAACGTGGGATAAACATTGTGATGTGCGGGAGCACCTCCTTCCTGCCCGCTTGCTCGGCCGCCAGCCCCATCCAATGCTTATACTTCGCCATGTGAATTCCTGGTTGTTTGCCGTCTGACGGATACACGTCAGGCTGGACATCTAAACGTGTATGCTTCCAACCACTCACTAATCGGTCCTTGAACTCCGAAATCACACCTTCTGGCATTGGCTTGTTCATCAGCCACTCCACTCGTTCGTCTACCTCGTGTAGCCCTTGCGGGGCCTCTTTCCATACATCGTGCCCCCAAAAACATAGAAAACGGAGGAGTAGTGTCCCCCATCCGGGCCCTTCGGGGTGGAGAGGGGATCCTCAGAGTCG